ATTAATAAATAAATACTGAAATATTTTGAAATTGGTGGTAGAGTTTGAGTTTTGTAAAGTAAAAAATTATTTTAGGTTTTTATATTAATATTGAAATATTTGTATTTTATTTTTTTATTTATTAAGAATTTTTATTTTATTTTATTTTAATACTGAAATTGGTGGTAGAGTTTGATTTTGCAAAGTGGTAGTTTCTTTTAGGTAATTTGTAATTTGAATTTTATTAGATAATTTGAAATTTATAATAGAAATTCAATTATATTAATTTTTAATTAAATTTTAAAATAAAAATTCAACTATACTAATTATGCATTAGATTGAAATTGATATAAAAATTTATTATATGGAGTTTGTGGTTTATTGCACTAAAGTCTCCATTAAACTACCGATGCATCTAAGTTATTTTTAATTATTCACCTTGAACCAATATGGAGATTGAGATATTTTTAGTAAAAATAATTACTTACCAATGAGATACAATGGCTAATTCTAAATCTTAAAACATTATCATTACTATTACTTGTAAGTAAAATTATAATATAATTTGATCTATTGGTCTGTTATATGAACTCTTTCATTGCCAATTCTTACTAATAATAAAATTGATTGACTTACTCATTGCCATTGAATTAGTGGGGGATGATTTTAAAAGAACTAATTGGTTTGAAAAAAAAAAAAAAAAATCTAAGAGAGACCCGACGCCACCATTTTTTTTTATAAAAATTAAATAAAAAATAGTTTAAATTTGGGAGGTATCTCATTAACTTTGTATGATTAAAATTACCGCATGACAATTAATTAATATTGAAACATGTCTTAAAACAGAAGAAGATATTTTTGAAATGATAAATTTAAAAAATAAAAATACAAATTTGCTGTTTTATTTTAAAAATAGATGAATTATTATTTTTATTAAATTAAGAAACAAATCTATTTTAGAACTTAAATGACAAAAAATCAAAATTCAGATTTATTAGTACTAAAGAAATTTTTTGAACTTACTTATCTTTCAATGAAAAAATAGAACTTATTTAGACATTTATTTTAAAAATATTTACCTCAATCATTTTTCATGGTTAACATCTGCTAAAATTTTCGGACTATTTTGAAATTTCGCAGTTAATATCCTATACTGCTAAAATTTTCGGCGCCACTACAAATTAAAACAACCCAGTCCACATGGTCCCCAAGCCCAACTCCGTACAATAAATATAGGGCTCAAATCCCCTGCTGTGAGTTACCCTGCAGTCCCCTGCTGTAAGCTGATGAAAGGCCTTAGTTTGGCCACGTGTGCTTCAGTTTGTAATATGTCTGTGGGCTCCACTAAAATGGTACAAAACGCATTATTCCGTTAAATCTGCCTTCCGTTAAACATCCATCTCTCGGCATCTCTGAAAAAGCCCAAAAGAGCCAGCTCTACAAATTAATTGAGCCGTCTCCAAAAAATTGGGTTGAGCCGTCTCCACATTTCTTCTTGAGCCGGCTGTCCATTATTATTTTTTTTTCTTTTATTTTTATTTTTATTTTGCTTGGCAAGGAGCCGGCTCTAAAAATTCTGAGAGCCGGCTCCATATTTATTATGAGCCGGCTCAACAACTTAGAGCCGGCTCCATTGAACTTCAAGAGCCGGCTCCATTAAATCTCAAGAGCTGTTAAATTTAGGTGTGAAATTAGTTTGGCAAATGTGTGAAATTAGTTTGTTAGAACTGTGTGAATAGCTTATTTTGATGGTGAAGGTGATCAGTGTCCCTACTTATTAAACTTCACAATGTATTTTTTCTCATAAATATGACATAATAACATGTGAAATGTGTAATTGCCGCATACATGAGAAGACAAAATATTTGATAACACATTGGTATCTAATGAAGCCAACTCAGTTAAAAAAAAACAATTATGGAAGATTTTACATTCACTAGAATGGTTATTGAAGATTATAGAAGAAAATCCTACAATTAACCACGATTTCAAATACGCTAGAATGCTTAACTAATGTCAATTTCAAGTAAAAAAAATCATAATTTACACTAACGGATGACAAATGAAAGAATTAAAAAATGTTAAATTTAGGTGTGAAATTAGTTTTACAGAGGTGTGAAATTAGTTTTACAGAACTGTGTGAATAGCCTATTTTGATGGTGAAGGTGATCAGTGTCCCTACTTATTAAACTTCACAATGTATTTTTTCTCATAAATGTGACATAATAACCTGTGAAATGTGTAATTGCCGCATACATGAGAAGACAAAATATTTGGATAACACATTGGTATCTAATAAAGCCAACTCGGTTAAAAAAAAAAACAATTATGGAAGATTTTACATTCACTAGAATAGTTATTGAAGATTATAGAAGAAAATCCTATAATTATCCAAGATTTCAAATACGCTAGAATGCTTAGCCAATGCCAATTTCAAGTAAAAAGAATCATAATTTACACTAACGGATGACAAATGAAAGAATTAAAAAATGTTAAATTTAGGTGTCAAATTAGTTTTGCAGAGGTGTGAAATTAGCTTTACAGAACTGTGTGAATAGCTTATTTTGATGGTGAAGGTGATCAGTGTCCCTACTTATTAAACTTCACAATGTATTTTTTCTCATAAATGTGACATAATAACCTGTGAAATGTGTAATTGCCGCATACATGAGAAGACAAAATATTTGGATAACACATTGGTATCTAATGAAGCCAACTCAGTTAAAAAAAAATAATTATGGAAGATTTTACATTCACTACAATGGTTATTGAAGATAATAGAAGAAAATCCTACAATTAACCAAGATTTCAAATACGCTAGAATGCTTAACTAATGTCAATTTGAAGAAAAAAAAATTCATAATTTACACTAACGGATGACAAATGAAAGAATTAAAAAATGTTAAATTTAGGTGTGAAATTAGTTTTGCAGAGCTGTGTAAATAATTTATTTTGATGGTGAAGGTGATCAGTGTCCCTACTTGTTAAACTTCACAATGTATTTTTTCTCAGAAATGTAACATAATAACCTGTGAAATGTGTAATTGCCGCATACATGAGAAGACAAAATATTTGGACAACACATTGGTACCTAATGAAGCCAACTCAGTTAAAAAAAAAAAACAATTATGCAAGATTTTACATTCACTAGAATGGTTATTGAAGATTATAGAAGAAAATCCTACAATTATCGAAGATTTTAAATACGCTAGAATGCTTAACCAATGTCAATTTCAAATAAAAAAAAAATTCATAATTTACACTAACAGATGACAAATGAAAGAATTAAAAAATGTTAAATTTAGGTGTGAAATTAGTTTTGCAGAGGTGTGAAATTAGTTTTACAGAACTGTGTGAATAACTTATTTTGATGGTGAAGGTGATCAGTGTCCTTACTTATTAAACTTCACAATATTTTTTTCCTCATAAATATCACATAATAACCTGTGAAATGCGTAATTGCCGCATACATGAGAAGACAAAATATTTGGATAACATATTGGTACCTAATGAAGCCAACTCAGTTAAAAAAAAAATAATTATGGAAGATTTTACATTCACTAGAATGGTTATTGAAGATTATAGAAGAAAATCCTACAATTATCCAATATTTCAAATACACTATAATGCTTAACCAATGTCAATTTCAAGTAAATAAATATTATAATTTACACTAACGGATGACAAATGAAATAATTAAAAAATGTTAAATTTAGGTGTGAAATTAGTTTTGCAGAGGTGTGAAATTAGTTTTGTAGAACTGTGTGAATAGCTTATTTTGATGGTGAAGGTGATCAGTGTCCCTACTTATTAAACTTCACAATGTATTTTTTCTCAGAAATGTGACATAATAACCTGTGAAATGTGTAATTGCCGCATACATGAGAAGACAAAATATTTGGATAACACATTGGTACGTAATGAAGCCAACTCAGTTAAAAAAAAAAAAACAATTACGGAAGATTTTACATTCACTAGAATGGTTATTGAATATTATTGAAGAAAATCTTACAATTACGCTAGATTTCAAATACGCTAGAATGTTTAACCAATGTCAATTTCAAATAAAAAAAAATCATAATTTACACTAACAGATGACAAATGAAAGAATTAAAAAATGTTAAATTTAGGTGTGATATTAGTTTTGCAGAGGTGTGAAATTAGTTTAGTAGAACTGTGTAAATAGCTTATTTTGATGGTGAAGGTAATCAGTGTCCCTACTTATTAAACTTCACAATGTATTTTTTCTCATAAATGTCACATAATAACCTGTGAAATGTGTAATTGCCGCATACATGAGAAGAAAAAATATTTGAATAACAAATTGGTACCTAATGAAGCCAACTCAGTTAAAAAAAACAATTATGTAAGATTTTACATTCACTAGAATGGTTATTGAAGATTATAGAAAAAAATCCTACAATTATCCAACATTTCAAATATGCTAAAATACTTAATCAATGTCAATTTCAAGTAGAAAAATATCATAATTTACACTAACAGATGACAAATGAAAGAATTAAAAAATGTTAAATTTAGGTGTCAAATTAGTTTTACAGAGGTGTGAAATTAGTTTTACAGAACTGTGTCAATAGCTTATTTTGATGGTGAAGGTGATCAGAGTTCCTGTGATCAGAATTTTTAGAGCCGGCTCCTTGCTAAGCAAAAAAAAAATAAAAATAAAAGAAAAAAAAAATAATGGACAGCCGGCTCAAGAAGAAATGTGGAGACGGCTCAACCCAATTTTTTGGAGACGGCTCAATTAATTTGTAGAACCGACTCTTTTAGGCTTTTTCAGAGATGCCGAGAGATGGATGTTTAACGGAGGGCAAATTTAACGGAATAATGCGTTTTGTACCATTTTAGTGGAGCCCATAGACATATTACAAACTGAAGCACACGTGGCCAAACTAAGGCCTTTCATCAGCTAACGGCAGGGACTGCAGAGTAACTCACAGAGGATTTGAGCCCATGAATATAAGCCACAAAGTTCTATCTTATCTGTACCACTAGAACTTTTCTCCACCATATTTTTTTTAGTAACCAACCCTAGCCGCAGCTCTGATTCTTTCATCATTTTTTTCATTCGTGTCCAACGTGAATGTTACTGGTCGAGGAGGAGTCACAACCAACAGCAATCCGAACCACACCCGGGAGAACTTGAACAATCTGGACCCAAAAACCCATTTTCTTCGGTGGAGAAGACATGTCCGATTCGTTACCCAAAGCCCTAATTCTCGATCTGGGTCCAAACCCAAAACATAGTTATCTCCCTTCGGACATTTTGTCGGTGTTATCCGTTTCCGGCGTCGGCCCCGGAAAGACCACCAAACCAGCGGATTTTGGTGGATTCCAGCAAGGATGTGAAGGAGGAAAACCGGCATCTGCGAGCCCGGCCAAGTCAGACTCTCTCTCACGTACCCTCTATCTTTCCACTGTGTTTGATTTTCATTTTTTTCTTTTAATGTCCTATTTGTATATTATAGCTCTAATTTCTGAATATTTTATTTTATTTTTTGTGATTATTTATTTATTTATTTGTTGAAAATAGTGACCTTGGATAATTTTTTTGTTGATGACATAGCTGAAACTTTCTCTTCTGGTTCTCAATACAGACTGAAACATTCTTTTTTTGGACCAATGACTAGATTGAACAATTCTTCTCTTGATGCCCATGTCGCAACCCATGTTGGTCTAACCTGAGGATTAAATGAGCATATATAGTTGGTCATATATTTGAATTAATTGCATGGCCTTAATGTTTGTCCTAGCATTAACAGTCAGAAGGGTTTTTGACTTTGTTCTATTATGGATTAATCTCCATTTGGAGAGGGAAATTTTTTTTTTTTTTTTGGACTAAGAAATATGTTTTTTTTTTTTATTTTTATTTTTTATATATGATTAAGAAATATTTTTGGTTATTGATTAATAAAAACTGATAAATAGTGTAGAAATTTGAAGCACTAAACTAGACAGTAGATAGTCACATGAACTAGATTTATCAAAGAGTAATATTGGTTAGGTTTTTATAGATCAAGCTTGAGTAGCTAGCTCGTCTCCAAAACACTTTTTTTTTATTCTGTTTAAAGTTCTTCTTCTTAAAGGTTGTGTGACTGGGTAAGTGCTTTTAGATTATCCAGAGTAATAACATTGTTTAATCTAATCACCAACATTTTTTTTTTTGAATTGGTCTAGTGTTTCTATTTAATCATTTTTGCTTTTTTTGAGAATGACGGAGTGTAGGAAAAGGCTAGGAATGTAAAGTACTGTTGTGATGGTATAGTCATTGTAATTTTTAATTTTTAATTTTTTTTTTCCAGTTCAACTTCACTTAATTATTAAACTAAAGAAAGTGATTCAAAATGGGTTTAAACAATCTCCTATTAGACAACATATTGATTATAAATTATTTACTACTGGTGCTAAATCAAAAGGGTTGGATGTAGGTATACCGGTCGGACTTGACATTTGTACGATAGTGCGATAGGTGCAAATTAACAATATGGGACTCTCCATGATCGCTTTGGTGCCCTGATTTGCAGCCAAAGCGAGGGGATTGCCTTACACTTTTCTTTATCTCTCTCCTCTTTACTTTTCGAAAAAAAAGCTACAAAATCTACAAGAATCAGAGTTCAAAACCCATATATTCAGTCTCAACTCTCAAGCTTACCCCCCTCTCTCTCTGCAACTGCTAACTTGTATGTATGGGTTTTGTTTTAAATTTTTTTCTAAATCAACTAATCAAGGTCTGTAATTCTGGTTTTGCAAACTAATTCTTATTTGGTGAAATTTTTTATGATCTTTTTTATATAATTAAATTTTTTATTTTTTATTTGTACAATATAAAGTAACAAAATTTGCATTGCATTGCATTTTGAGGTAATCACCGTAATCTACATTTTATTTCAGCAAAACAAATATATATATATATATATTATTTCTATATTTGTTTATTTATTTATTTTTATTTTTTTTTGGTTGTCAATTATATCAGATTATATCAGATATAAGTTCCAGTTCTAGTTCCATCACGTGATACAGTGCAGAGCCCTCTGCATGCGATACAATTCCCTGTCTATCTCAAGGATCTTAAGGTGCAACACTTACAAGATTTGTAATACTAATCCACAAGAGACCAGTAAGTTTTGCATTTATCATGAAATTTTGTTCTCTAAATTTTCTTTTTCGTTCTTGTCAGAGACAAAAGATTGGATTTTGTGATATATGAACTGTCTTCAATAGTTTATTTAAAAAAGTTTTATTTATTTATTTATTTTTATTTTTAGAATCAGCTCTCTTTTATAATTTTTTCAAGTTTCAGCCTATAGTTGTTAGAATCATTTTGTTTCTCAAGTTGCATGGGTTATAAAACTTGGATCAGTATTTTGGAAATTTGGTTGAAAGTTGGCTAAATCAATAAAATTTTCTACAAAGTTTTAATTTGGTCAAAATGAATGTGGGCCAAAAGAAGTTTTGTTTCTGTTACTGAACTTAAAGAAATTCTATTGCTTTATCTTCTCATTTATCTGTACCAATAATAGAAATTATATTGCTTTGTCTTCTCATTTATCTGTACAATTGATTGAGTGTAATGGAGAAGGGAGCTCAGGTTTGCTTGTTTTAAACTGGTTGGTGTACAGGTGACTCAAAGGAGATTTTCTATATGGATCCTTTGGAAAAGAATACAACTAATAATAATCTGAATCACTGGCCTTCAGAAGGTACTTTTAACATGTTTACATACTTTACTGGTATCTCTGTTGCTGTTGGTTTTCTTGCATTTCTTGATCTGTCATTCAGTATTTTGTTATATGAGTACATTTTATCTTAAGATAGAAGAACTACTTTGGATGTTGTCTGGGTTGGAAATTCCAGAAGTATTGCCAAATTGGAGATCCATACTGGAATCTTTACCATAAGAAATTCCTGTTCACATGTGACATTTTGAATTCATTAAGCTTAAAACAACTATTAATTTTTCAATTCAAACCTCAATAGTTTATTGATAGTAATTCTTTTTCTTTACTTTAAGAAGAATTTGAACAATTCTTGGGGCGGCCTGAAATGTGATATCATATGCTCAGAATAGTTATAGGTTGTGATTTTATATGAGGGATTTGGAGATGAGATATTATCAATGAACAATATAGTTCTAGTGAATTGTGCTTACTTGGGATGTGTGTTTTCATGTGTGTGCTTTTGTGTTTGTCTTTTGGTTCTTTTTCTCACGACTTTTGTAAATATTTCTTCTCTAGAACAAGGTTTGCAACTTCTAGATGATGTCAATTTTGCTCCCTCAGGGCTGTTGGACAAAGCTTAGTCTCTTTACTTGCTTTGAACTTGGATGGAGACTTCTTTGAGAAACTGGCCGGGGGCTTTCAATCCACCATATGCATTTCTTCGGTTGATACACTATCCAGGTTTAAATCACAAATTAACTGCATTTTATTAATCGACTCTGTTTATGTTATCTATTATTTAGATTTTTTCGTAAAATTATCTTTTTCTTTCCTTTCATTTGTTTCTTTTTTCTTCAATCTTTGGGTTTCTTACTTCCTTTGTTATATAGATTCGTCTCTGTTATGGCTTTTTTTTTTTTTTTTTTTTTTTTTCATAAAGAACTTAGTTTTTCATTTCTTATTTTGTTTCTCAATATTAATTCCATTGCATTAGTTCAAGATAGCACATCTAGAAAACCATACGATCCTGTATAGTCATGTGGAATGTAACTATAAAGTGTAGGTTTTTTTGCTTGATCTACATTGTAGTGTTGGGATTCATTACACTTAATATAGTAAAATATTATTTTCCGCCAATGATAGCAAACTATACAAACTAATCAGAGGGGTTGTTGAACCATTCATTTAATGGCGCATGTCGAGTAAAAGTATTTTTGTTGCATTTAGAGGGAATTAAATTTAAACTTTAAACTTTTTAAATTTTTTTTTTTCAATTCCAATTCTAAGTTGCCTATTCCACACTTTCAAACACAGCATAAGTAAATTTAATTTTTTTTAGTCTTAAGCATTGACAAACGACATAAGTTACACAAAGTTAGAGCTGAAGCGAGAACGTTAAATCTTAATTTTTATTAGTCTTAAAACATTGACAAATGACATAACATAAAGTTAGAATTAGAGCGTGAGAACGTCAAATCTAAAAAGTACTTTTGAGAGCAAGAACTGCAACGTCAAATTTAAAAAAATTTGAAAGCGAGCGTCTGTACATACTTTTATGTAATTATCACTCAAGGCATTATCATTTTATATATTAAATACCATTTAATTAGTTGTTAACATTTAATTAAATTTAATTAGTTGCAATGTACTTAAATTCAAAGTTTTTTGTTTGGTAAGGAAAATTAATTTGATGTATATATATATATTGTATACTACTAATATAAGATGTAGTAACACATTGTGACAATATTAGAAGCAGCAAATTTACAAATCATTAAAGGCAACACCAGTTAGATGTAAGTAAGAGTTGATATAAGTTGGTTCTGATATAACATGTTATTTTGGTAGGTGAGATTTGTATATAATAATGAATTGTGACAGAAATTGGTGCTCTTGCATAACATATTTCTTTAGTTCCCTCACCCGTATGTACATGACATCAAAAAAAAAAAAAAAAAGACTTTCATTGAGGCTGATTTCTTGATGAAGGTGACCTTGAAATTGCTGTTTAGGTGATCAGAATTTTTTTTTTTTTTTTTTCACCTAATTAATGAGATTCTACTACCATTGAATAATCATTATAATCAATACAAGTTCAAAAAACAATGAATTTCAATTTCCTTTTTTTCCCTATTTCTGATCCTTAACCTGCAAACAGGTGATATTGTAATTGTATATATAGTTAGTTGCTTGAAGAAGATATATAGTTAGTTGCTTGAAGAAGAGTAAAAACCAAATTATTTTTTTTCTATCATTGAGACTTTTCATAAACTGACTTTGTAATATATAAATAAATAAATAAATATATATATATATATAAAATACCTAGTAGCTCATATTATATCAAGCTTTTATACTTGTACTCTTCTAATTGGCATTAGTCAATTTCTTGTGCACAAATTCTTTGTACTTCACGAAAATGCGTAGTGTAATTGACATCTTAATCAAAGTTGATCTGCTATTTGTTTGAAGTAGTCAAACGGTTTGATTTCTTCAATCATTTTTTTTTTAGTTGTACAATAAGAGGGCATATCTTTCCATGTTTTCATGTGAAATTTTAATTCAAAGTCCATTTTCTTCTTTTGAATTGGGCTTACAAACTGGGTAATTTAAACCACTGTTGAGATAACATGTTTTTTTTTTTTTTTTTTTTTTTTTTTGTTTGTGTGCACGCGCGCGCAGAAAAGCATAAAAGATCTTCAAGCTAGTAGTTGAAGTTGAAGATGAAGCTAGAAAAAAGAAGGTTTGAAGATGGGGTCGTGGTTGTTTTTTTGAATTTCCTTGGCCGATGTAAAAACTTCTAGTACATTTTGATGGGTTCTTTTGAGGAAACTTGCGGTTGTTTTCACTACTTTTGTGAAAAATTCTTTTCATTGTGTATACTTTTTTTTGTAAAAACTTGGTGTTCACTACAGCTTTATTTATTAGTAAACAATTTGGATGGTATTTTCATATTCGCAGGTTAACTTGTGGTTGCCTAAATCTATTAGTAGAAATTTGGATGGTAATTGTTTCAAATAGGTAAAAACAAAATTATATTATTGTATTACTCAGAGGACATGTTATTTTGTAACAATAAAATAGTCTACAGTGACAACATATTTGTCGCAGCATGGTAAGTATATTGTAGTGACAACATATTTGTCGCAGCATGGTAAGTATATTGTGACAAAAGTTATTTTGTTACAATAAAACAACTTATATTGTGACAAAAGATTTGTCATAACATGGTATTTATATTGCGATAAATGATTTTGTCACAATAAAAATAGCTTATAGTAACGATAATTTTGTCACAACATGACACATATATTGTGACGAAATATTTTGTCGCAATAAAAATAACTTACAGCGACAATAATTTTGTCACAACATTGCACATATAAAGTGACGAAATATTTTGTCGCAATAACAATAACTTACAGCGACAATAATTTTGTCACAAGATGACATATATATTGTGAAAAAATATTTTATCACAATAAAAATAACTTATAGTGACAATAATTTTGTCACAACATGGTATATATATTACGACAAAATTTTTTGTCACAATAAAGCTGCTTATAGTGACATTATTTTTATTGCAATATGGGACATATTTTGTCACAATAAAATATGTTATAGCGACAATTTTTGTCACAAAAGAGTAAATATATAGCGACAAAAATTCTTTTTGTCACAAAATAGTAATGAATAGCGACAAATTTCATAAGTCTTGAAGGGTATAAGACGACAATTTTTGAATATTTTATGACAAATATTTTGTCGCAATTTTTACTCATTTTGTGACGAAAAATAATTTGTCGCGATATATCTTACCTCTAGCGACAAATCAAAATTTGTCACGAAAAACATATTGTGACCGGCTTCTAGCGACGACCTGTTGACAAAATTTTTTTTGTCGCGATAATCTTTTCGCGACAAAATATGGACTTTTAACGACAAACCCTTTTGTCGCCAAAGACCAAATTTGTTGTAGTGCATTCTATCGGTGTTCATTGCCATTCCTTTTCTCAACTAACTCATTAGCAGAATCTCTGTCACGCCGCTTCTCACCCCTAGCATGTCTGAAGTCCACAGTCAACTGATACTGCTATAGAGTAGCGTCTACCACCTGAGTATAGGTAGTGTAGGCTAGACTACCTGTAATAACTCGCTTAATAGACCACATAAGTCCGTTAACGAAACTATTACGCTTCTTCTCCTCTGTATCCACCTCATCTGGTGTAAAAAGAGACAAGCGCATGAACTGCTACTCATAATCTGCCACCGTCATGTTCCCCTGCTCTAGATTAAGGAACTCAGTCTTTATAGCTGTCCTAACTGTATAAGGAAAGTACTTCTCATTGAAGCGAGCACTGAACTAATCATAAGTCAATGAAGTTCTCTCCTCTGTGGTGGTAACTGACTCCCACCACTGTAGTGCATCTCTGACCGGCTTGAAAGTTTCAAGCATCTGCTTCTGAACCTCCGTGCACTGAACCATTCAAAGATGTCGCTCAATATCCTTCTTCTACTGATGAGCTACTTTCGCATTGGAGAAGCCTATGAACTCAGGTGGATTCCCCTTTGTGAAAGAACTTCTAGCCTTTTCCTAAGGATCGATCGGAACCACTGGTGCTGGTATAGGTGCTTGTTGAACCTATAGTTAATTCTGAAGTGCAGCTGTTTCCCCTGCTTCTATAGCCCGAGTAATGAGGTCATTGATATGAGAAAGATACTCTGGATCTCCTCCTTGATCCTAAACCTGCTGAACTTCCTCCTGCTCTTCCTGAAACTGACCATCATCATCCTGAAACCCAGGCAATTGCTGCTCTTCCTCAATCTGCTGACACCGTAGGAGATATTGTTACCTACGTGCCGCCTTCCTTTGTATCCTGTTTCCTTGCATGTTCTGCCCTCCCCTAGCGTTAACCATTTTGTTAACAAAGAGAGACAGACATCAGTTCGATTTACAAGGATCGTAAAGGAGTACAACGAATCCTAAACTTAAGCTCTACACGAGAGAATACGCTACGCGGAAGTCTTATATGATAGAATCCTAGAGACACTTAAACCTGGAGTACTCTGATACCAACTGTGATACCCCTTGATTCTAGAGTCACGAGTGATAAAGTCCGAGCACAGATCCGCGGGATACCAAACACTTAATATTTAAATGAACACGGAATACAAAACGAAAAAATGAATAAATCATAAAGGCTGAAGAGATATCTAAAATATATTCTTTAAAATTAAATGCTTAAAACCCAACAATCTAAAACCTCCATAAATATCCTCCAATAATTAAACAACTCGGGAATCCATCTCTAGTGGACCCCTAATAAAAATCCCAAACTGAAATGTAAACAACTAAAATAAAATACAAAGGTAAAACTGAAGCATAAGAAGCAGTCCTACATAATCGGAAGAATGAGTGACTGTCTCTGCTCAGCTCGATTAAGCTCTAAGACTGAAATCGCATGAAACCTAAAAAATAAAAGTGGGTCAGGCCCACAAGCAAGTTCTCTACTATTACAATCCAAGCAGAGACCCGATACGCATGTACATCCTAAACAATCCAACAATAACTATGTAGTCCGTACATATATATATCCACACTAAAGGACTCTCACTGGACTACAGGCTGGTCTCAGCCTGACTAGTTGACAACATGCAAAATGCACCTGAAGTAGGCATGAGTACCTAGACCTAATAGGGTACACCTCCAACCATCATAGCCAGCTATGCATCACAATGCATATACGCTCCCCAACCATCGATCCTGAGACTCAAGCTCATATCGAGGTACCATAATTATATATTTAAAATCCATCCAAAAACTATAGTAGTGCCGCTCAACCACAACAAATTAATAGGATTTAACCTTATAGTTAATCCATTCCTTTATCCCAGAGTAGGTAGGACTTAGTGTTTTGAGCTAATCTCCCTAATATGCCACCGTCCCATATCGGTACATACAATCCATAAATCCAGTAGTTAATAATACAAATAAAAAAAATATATAAATATCAACTAATCCATAATAAGCATAATAAGAATATGAAAATTAACATGCTTATCTTAACCACTGATACAGGATTATCCAACAAGTGACAGTACAGATAACAGGGATAACCATCCATTAATCCATGATAAGCATAATAAAAAATATACTAATTAACATGCTTATTTGCTACCAACGACACATGATTAAACTGTATAACTATTCCCAGAAAATTTCTAAAATATAGATAAGAAATTTAAAACATCCAAATCCAAACAGTATGCAAATTTATTTAATAATTTCATACTGATCCAGCTTTTAACACTAAGTGTTTCATTATGCATTATCTTGCCTTCTAGAGTTTTAATTTGACTCTAGACAACATTTAAATCATCCATTACAACTCCCAATTACATCTGGAACATCAAAAATCCAACAACAGTAGAAAAAAACTCACCGAAATTGGAAAAAAAAAACAAAAATTAGCAAAGAGCCGACTCCTTAACCAAGGAAGCCGCCTCCTTACCTCATGGAACCGGCTCCCTAGGTTAGGGAACCACCTCCCAAAGCCCTAGAGCCGGTTCCCCATAAAGCGGAGCGACCTCCACTCCATGGGAGCCGGCTCTCTCCAAGAGGGAGCCGGCTCTCTCCCTCCTTTGCTTCATTTTCCCTTTCTTCGGCGTCTTCCATACATCCAGTACCTCTCTGTTAGGGTTCCTAGTAGTCTTAGCTAAGTCCCAGATTATTCCAGCCAGTGTTTAAGTCCATAATGTATGACTGACATTAATTTAAACAGATAACTATACAAGAAAACGCAAGTTCAAACAATTATAAATTTATTGGCACACATATTGTTGTTATCAGATTATAACATACATAACAGATAAACTTAATCATTCAGTTAATCCTAGAATTATTTAGGCATGTAAAGAACACAAAGCCTAAGGGAGAGAGTTAAGATTAGAACTTGCCAGTGAGATTTTGAATTAAAATCTCGACGTCGTCTTCCTACCTTTCCGGTGATCCTTCACTGTTCTCCTCCTCTGTTGCCCCTTGGTTCAACCCACGAGCAATCACCTTCCTTTCTCCTTGGTCCAATCTTAAACTATGGCTGAAACCCTAACCGATTTACTCTGTTTTACTCTCAAGTCTCTCTCTATAAACACGAACTCTCTGTATATGTGAATAGGGTTTTTTTTAACCTTAGACAGACGTATACTGTTCTTTATATAGGCTTTAACCAAAAACCTAATTCCACTTATTTTAAGAGATGGAAACCTACACTAAATATAAAACTAGTCGGCCACCATATGATTTCAAAAAGAATATAAAACCCTAAACTATATACTACATTGAATTCATTTTTAAACTAAGTCCACCTAAGCATAACTGTAAAAACAAATAAATATAATAATCAATTAAATAAAACAATTAACTAATTAATTCAATTAAATAAAAACAATGAATTCAACTAAATAAAAGTAATTAAAAAATTCAGCAAAAAAGCAAATAATAAAAAAAAATGCAATAAAAAATTAATTAAATACCGAGACTATCCTTTTAAAATTAGGGGTATTACAGCCACTCAACTCAATTTGGAGTGGGAGCTTCCTCGGATGGTCCTTTGGAGGAGCGAGCACGTTTAAAGGTAGTTTTGGGAGCTATTTGGAAGAGGGATTTGGTTCAGGCAATTTGTCAAACACCTGGTGTGCAAGCCAAAAAGGCAGAGAGTTAAGGGATGATTACAATGAAAAAAACCCAAAAATTTTGCCTTGCAAATGACACACACTAGCCCCAAAACAATCATAAACCTCCACTACATGCAATCCCATCCTCTATTAATACCAAAAACTTGAAAGAGTAGAGGAGGAGAAACTTACCTAAAGGGAGATGCCAAACAATGTCCTTCTTGCTTGGTGCAAATTAGAGGGGAAGAGGATAAGAGATGAGGGATTAAGAGAAT